CCCTGTACAATGCCCAGGTCCCCATCCACCAGAGGGGCTCAGAGGAACCACACAGTAAAGGGAAGAGCATCAGCATTTCCAATGGCCCTGAGCCCGCTCATTTGCCGCAGGGCTTCCCTGCTGCCGAGACATGACCGTGCTGGACTCTGCTGGGCGCTTGAGCCAATTTGTTCCAACACCACAATTAGCAGTTCATCATGGCCAAGCTGTGAACAAAGTGGCTGTAACAACACGCAGCCTCCCCTGCTAAGATTTTTCATGGAAAACCCTTCTTTGGGAGGCTGGGGAAACCACTGGCACTGGACTAATCAGCATCTCCCCACTGCAGCGGGGCAGCGGGGCTTGGGCACTGCTCAGGCTGCAAGAGGTTAATGGCTTTTGAGCGACTCCTGCGATTAACTTTTCCCAAATCTCCAATTCTTCCTTGCCTTCTATTTTTATAAAAAGAAAAGGGGGGAGGCGGTATTTACAAGGGATTTCACTCAAATAATGAAATAACTGTGATCAGCCGAGGGACCCTTAATCCGCTTTGACTCTTGTGTCCTGGGGAACAAACACAGAGAGCCGAGTCCCAGCAAAGCAGGGAACAAAGTAACCCCGTCCCTGCCTGCCTGGGGGGCTGAGCCCACTGCACCACCTTAAATCCCTGTATTCAGACACAGGCACATCAGCCAGGGGTGACACCATCACCTGCTCCCACCCTGCAGCTGATGTGTCCATGCCCCTGCGTGGAGCCCCCCATGCCAAGGCAGGAGCTGGCCATGTCTCTGTCTCAGATGACCAAACACACGTAAAAGGCGCCAGCTGTGTTCATGCATCTTTCATCTGCAGCATCACCTGCTCTTACAGCACCCTCCACAGTGCACGGGTGTGAAAGGGAGGAACCATCCTATTTCTTTAGGCTTTGCCAAATATATTAAACTTTTAGCCTGGAAACAACAATGTAAATTATCACTGTAATACAAATACTAAACTAAAACCCATGCTGATGGTTATTCCTAACTGGGGCAAAAACTTCGAGCCCCACAAGGGAGTTTGTGGCTGATGGGGCCACCCCTGGTGCTGCAAGGAGCGGTGTTGGGGTTGTGCCAGGAGCACCATGCTGCTGGGAGCTGGTTAAGCCCATGGGTCCCGTTAGAAACACACCATATGAGTAAAACGAGTGTTTTTGCCCAATAAACCCCAGCATGGGGTGAACTAGAGGCAGACCTGTGCTACTGCAGGGACACCTTGTGTAACAGCCTTCCTAATCCTCAAATCTGCCAACTGGGTGCCAGCCAGCTTCCCCCTCCATAAGCTGTCTCATCCTGGGGGGGACACAGGGCCTCAGTCACCCCTTCTTGTGGGACAGCAGAGAGGACGCCCTGGGCAGCCCTATGGCAGGGGGGACAGCTCATCCCTGGTATGGGAAGGGATTTCTCCCACCTTCATTCCAGCACAGCCCCAGCCACAAATGTACAAAACCAGCTTAGGTTGGGAGGGGGGATCTAAACACCCTAGCTGTGATTCCCACATATGCTCAAAGATATAATCCAGATTTGCTACTTGCCCTGGCACCCTTTTTATATTTTTTAATAAATTAAAATCTCTCTTTGCTGTGAGCATAATCAGCATTACGACGAGGGAAGGAGAGGCCTTTCACTGCATGCAGCAGGACCACAAACTAAATCACCACTGCCACAGCTGGGGACTATCCCGGCTGCACAGAACCCACATCCCTGCGCTGCACTTACCTCCTCTGGGGAATTGTCTTAATTCATCTGTTAGATTACCTGCAAGGCAGAAGATGCCACAATCAGGGCTTGTTCATTCCTTCTAGGATGGAGAGGTCCTGGCTTAGGCAAGACCACTCCTCCCTGAGCCCCACACTGAGCCCTGCCTGGCTAAATTTGGAGATCTGAAGGTGCAGGGAAAACACTCACATTCCTGGTCCATCCTGAAGGAGCTCAAACCATCCGGCCTTTTGCCTCCTCACTGGTGTTTGTTACAGCCCCTGAACTCTGAGGCCAGTGGAGAGCACAACTGGGTGATGCCTCCAGCACATTACACAGAAGCCCATGGTCGAGCAGTGCCGTTGGGGATGACACCCAGCCCCATCCCTCTAATGCCCTCAGAGCAGGGAGAAAGCCCTCCTCAGACTGCAGGGCTTTAATGAGAGGCTGCTGCATCCATACTCTTCCTCACGAGCGGCAACTGAGAGCTGAAAAGCAGATGACATCTGCACAGATGTAAAGCCCAAAGCCCTTGGGACAAAGGGATTGTCCTTTCCCTTGTGCTGCTGTGCCCTTCTTGCCTTTGAGCCAAAACACTCAGGATCTGGCCCTAGATGGCTGTGAGAGCAGCATAGGGAGCTGAGCCCTCCCCACGCTGCCTCCCAGCTCCCCAGCACAGCCTGAGGTAGCGTTACTGGGACTGAAAGCTGAGGATAGATGCTCCAGATTGTACCTCTTTGATGGAAGAACCACGTTGTCCTGTCACTGCTCCCCAGCTGTGTCCCTGGGGGGGTCAGGCTGGGCGTCTCCTGCCTCCCCACAGGAGGTAATAGGTGACCCAGCCCCAGCCTGTCCTGCCTGTTGGGTGACAGGGACTGTAGGAACATGGGCCACTGGCCACACAGCCCCATGGTGGTACCCACCATCCCTCCCTGTTGCTATAGAGACCGAAGCTGGTTTTCGCTGCAGCGATGCTGGTTGTTTCTGAGCGCTACCTTTGGCATGGCAGGCAGCTGGGAGAGAGGATGAGGGATGCCATGTGCTGCTGTACCACTCGCCTTGCTCGCAAGGCTCTGCTGGGCCTTTCCTGGTGCCTCTGTGCATAGATCCAGACTCACCTTGCAGGGGCTCACCCCAAACCCTCCCTGCAGCAAGCATATGAGTACCAGGGCTCTCCTGCATTAGGCACTGGAGTATCAGGGGCACAAAGGGGTGCAGGCTGCAGGGGTGCTGAGGAGAAAGGTTCCTCAGAGAAACCCTTTGTGGGAGCGAGCCCTGTCCTGTGAACCCCAATTTACCCCAGTGACTTACCCCAACTCACCTCTCCCTGCTCTCCTGCTTTGCTTTGCAACCATGTGCTGGGATGAGACTGGCTCAGCTGAAGTTACCTACCACGGCAGCTTCTCCAGGCCACAGCCTCCTGATCGCACCAGCAAAGACCAGGAGTACCTCCTTCAAAGCCATCCTGGATAGACCAGGAGAAGACAACACAAGTGCAAGGAAACCTGGACCCAGCGACATGGCTGTAGATGCATCCAGCTGATTTGCAAAGGTTCAATAAAACCTAGAACCATGAAGTGAGAGCTTCCCACAAAGCAATCAGGGCAAAGTCTTCCCCACCTCTTCAGGTACCCACCATCTCCAGCTATGCATAGGTGCATACCCACACCATCAGAGCTGCAGTAATGTGCCTCCATCCTTCCTAGGGGTGAGGATAATCTCTGCCAAGTGTCTGGAAGAAAGAAAAAGCACCATAGCTCACTTCTTCACATACATTTTTGCAGGAGAAGGAGGCTGGCAAAGAAAACCCCTGATGGAGGCCAGGCACAGCACCATGTCTCTGCTCCCACCCCGTTTAAACAAGATGCGGCAAGGGAATGTGGCAGCACCGACCACCCCCCTGCTGCTCTGCCTGCTGCAGCAGCAACCCACAGCCTCCAGGGATAACCAGCAAGGCCCATGGCTCTCCCCTTCCCTGAGCACACTCAGTAACAGCCCTTCCCATGGGACCCTTGCACAGCCCACCCCGGGCAGCTCCATGGGAGGCTGGCCTCTGAAGGACACGGTAGTTCTCACCATGCTTCTGCTCCAGCCTCGGCACTGGCATTGCGGGAGCTCCCAGGGCTCTGTGCTCACGTCCCAGCTGGAGACACGTGCCAGGGATAGATTTTCTGTTTAGCTTCTTTTCATGTTAATTATCAAAGAGCAGCAAATGTTCGCAGCTTGCAACAGTCGTTATCTGAATGTCTCCTTCTCACCAGCAGCCCCTGTAGGAAGAGGCACCTCAACACACACAGAGAGGTGAGAGCACAAGACCCATGTGGTTGTTCCCTGGCCTTGCTGGGTGCATTTTGCTTACTTGGGATAGACAGGAGAACATGAATGATGGGATCCCTTCATTCTGCAGGAGGCATCCAGGTGCTGAGTCTAGTGTCCATCACCTGCCAAACATCAAACTCTTCTTAAGACAGAGAAACCACAGCGAACTGAAGGGTTCTGTGCAAAATATGGGATTTTCTTAGACAGTTGTGACGGGTGATGCATTTCAGAGATACCACACTGAGCATGGCTGTCACCACTGAAAACATCAGCCAGGTTTCAAGGTGGCTGCTTGTCGGTAATGGAAAGTCTGGGTATCAGACTCTGTGTTCAGTAGTCTCAGACCAGTTCACAGACATCAATTAGTTCAACCTTGCAATAAGGAAGGTCAGGAGTGGGCTCCTCATTTCATACAGGGTAAGACACAGAAACATTCACTGTAATGAGGTTACAGCCAAGGGAGCAGAGGCAGGGGCGCAGGCAGTCCTGCCTGCCTCCCTCTAGCTCACCAGCACTGCTGGGTGTAACAGAAAACAGTCAAAGCTCTACAAGACTTACCTTGGAAATTGCCATTTACAGCATCATTTGCATCATTATAAAATCGTGGCCACGAAGACTCTTTGCTGTGTATCTAGACCTGCTTTGCAAACTCAGCACGACTCAGCACAAAGCCTATTCAATTACTCCCTGCCAGGATGGAAACGGACAACTTGCATTTGCCTTTTACCAGACCAAGCCCTCCTCACAACCCTCACAGAGCAGATTTTTGAACAGCAGATGAAAGGCTGGTTTCAACATGTCACCTTCATCATCCTGAGCACCCATCTAGGTCCACCCCATGCAAAGCAAACCGTGTAAGTGATCATTTGAATCCCTTCGGTCAGGACTTGCTCTGAGTTGAATGCATATCTCAAAGCTACACTGAACTGGCTTTTGTCCCTTCCCTCGTGATAAGAACCAAACAGGGCAGGATTTTTCTGATTATTTATTATCTGTGAAGTGCTGGCAGTGTCCTGACTCTGTACAAGACACACTCCTGGGCTTACAAAAGGAAAAAGCACTGTGGCCAAAATTGTTTAGCATCAAAAAAGTCAATGAATGTGTTCTCAAGAAGCTCTCAGGCACCGCCTCTCCTGAGGACACATCAAGCTGCTGATGTCAACCACCCATAGGCAGCCATGTAGCTCATTTCTCTCACCCGTAAAGCTAAATTAGGTCGCTGTCCAAACACAGCTTGAGAATATGGCCAAAACACAGGTATGGCCCTTGATTGCTAAAACCCAATCCATTGCGAGAAACATTATTTTTTTGTCAAGTGGGGAAGCAACATTAAAAAACGCCACTACTCATGGAAGCTACAACTGCTTCCAACAAACAACACGTAGAAAACACTGGGAGGGAGACTCTTCAAGTATCTACTAGTTTCCAGTGGGAAGGCATCAAGTCCCCCGTGTTCACCAGATGGATATCAACATCTGACACGTGTTGGAAGACATCCATATCAACTCCACCAGCCTGAACTGTAAGTAGCCGAAAACAAAGCCAGACAGGACATCTGTGATGTGGTGCCGTCCGATCATGACGCGGGAAAAGCCCACGCAGACGGCCCAGAGGACCAGCAGGATGCGGAGAGGGATGGCCAAGACGAGGTGGTTGAGGAAGAACTTGGAGAGCATGGCCACCCGGCTGGCGTGCCCGGCTGGAAACGCATAGGTGTCCATGGTCAGGTAGTCCAACAAGCCAGGGGTGATGTCGTACGGGCCCTTCCGCTTGGCCAGCTTCTGCAAACCAGCCACAATCATGATGTCCAGAAGCAGGGCTGCAGAACAAGAGACAAGAGGGAAAGGTCAGAGATGGAGCAGAGTCAAAGGCAAGTTTTAAGGCAGAACATTCAAGGGCTGTCTCTGTTTTTAAATACAGATTTGGGTTCGGTTCTACCCATGTGTCCATGGTTCAGCTGCATGCAGCCTCCCTCATCCTCTGCTCACCACTCAAATGTTAATTAACCCTCCCATGGAGAAGGCAAGTGCCATTACCACCATCTCTTTTGGGAGAAGCCCAAACTGAAGAGGCAAGTGCTCTGCCTGGGGAGCAACTGGTGAAGCTAAAATTAAAACTCTTTTGGCCCTGAAACCACTGGACTGGGTGTTCCTGTTCCTGTCCTCTACCCCATGCTTTAGGAACCTTGTGCAGCAAGGACATATCCTTGCCTGGGGTGGCTCTGTGCTGGGGTGACCCTGTGCTGGGGTGACCGGGCTGCAGTGAGCAGTCGGTGGGAGGATAGGTGCCTATGGCACTTTGTGGTGGTGTCCCTTGTCCTTTCCCAAGCCCACCACTCCAGAACCAGCCAGTGGGATCACGCTGCACTAACAGGTTTCATGAAGAAAAGAGCATTAAGAGGCAGGGAGCCAAGGGGAAAGCCATGCAATGAAGAAAAAGGGCTTTTGTGTTAGAAACAGCACCCTGGTGCGTTGGAGGGCAGGTGACATCCCCCTCAGTATCCCCCGCCTGTCCCTCTCCCTCTGCTGATGTGTTGAACACCCACAAGCCATTTTTGCTTCCCCTCGCCTCCCTCTCCCTGGGGCTTTCTCCCTGCAAGTCACCCCATGTATCCCCTTCCCTGCACAAACACGGTTTGGGGGTAACACCCGCCCCCCCCCAGCCTGAGCAAACCCAGGCTTGTGGCAGGCGGAGGGACACCCCTCCAGCT